CACACATTTCAGCCTGAGGAACAGCGTCTCTTGTGCGGATTGTGCTTTCAACGTTTTATCAAACATGTCCCGCAATTTAGCAACAGTAAAAACGGCATTTTACAACAATCACTGAGCTGATTCTGACGTTAAGTTTGGGTTTTAGGGAGGAACGAATGCGCACCACTGTGAAGGGAAAGAAGTTGCGCAATACGAAACGCAGCTAGTTTTTAATAGCTTTACCTCATGTCTTCTTTTGTATAATCCTTAGAAGCCAAAATCGCAATAAAAAAAATAAAATTAGCTTAATAAAACAGACACAGGCCTAAAGTGTAAGCAGATGTTTGAATGTTTAGTTCTCTCTTCTATCATAATTAAACAGGGCTTTCATGTTGCGCGTGCTGAAGCTCCTCCGCGTGAGTGCGACCTCGCTTCTGAATTGCGAATAGCAAAAATGCATCACAGACAAATTTTTGAAAAACAGCTGGCAACTCTGGTGAGTTAGAATTTGCAAGATAATGTATATATAGCAATAATAAATGTGTGTGTTTTATTAATTTTTCCAGTACCGATAGCAGAACCGTTAACGTCAGAGCTTATCGATACTCCAGTCTTTCATAATTTAGCCCCGGGACCGATTAAATACCGAGTTTCGGTACCCATCCCTAGTTTCAAGAGAAACAATTTCCTTCAGGTCGTTGTGAAATCGTAGGGCAAAGGACATGAAAAAAAATTCTTAATTTAAATAAAGTTTCCCTAGTGCTATAAAGAAAATTAAGAATGAACATAAATGCAAGGGAAAACTGCAATTGTCCAATTTGCCAATAGTAAGGATGTCATTGTGGTCAATCAAGATTTTACTGAACAAAACTAAAATTTTGACAATGCAAAATGAACTCTGGTTAATTAGTGGTTAAATTTTAATTAAAAAAAAAATGTATTAAACAAAAACACAGAAGTGTTATACCAATTATTTATACCAAAATGATATATAACCATTTATACTGAGCTAGATGCTGATTTTTTCTACAAATGATTGCCAAACTTTTCCAACAGCCACAAAAGAAAAAAGGAATGAATGAACAAATAAATAAATAAATGAACAGGTCATTAAAAAAATATTTTCAATGATATATTGTTTATAGAATTGGTCTATGGCCAACAGTGACACTTTGGTTCATTATTTAGAATGAACCTGTTGTATAGAAAAGCTAGATTTCTGGGGTGTCTTATTCCCCCCGTATCATTCCCCATTCATCGGACACTAAATGAAGCTGGTGAATCATCAAGCTCTTTTGATGATTAATCAAGAGTTTATCTCGGCATGCCGCTATTTATAGATCCCCTCCGTGCTGCGCATCAATATTTCAACATCCTGTCTCCGACATCACAGTCTGGCTGTTCTAATCACACAGTGCCTTTCATCTTTTGCTGCTAGGTCAATTTTACGTGACAAATATGGACCACGTTTTCTCACTTGGCAAAAATTACACCAATCCACCTTAAATGGCTTTGTTTCTAATGTTGGCCTCTGGGAGGAGGTTGTTAGGGTAAGTGGGTTTTATTATGGCAGAGACGCCACTAGGACCAGCAGCTGTAACCTGTTCATGTCAAATAGAAACTTGGTTTGAGCACTAGGGACAAGACCTTAGAGTTCAAGTTAACAGGGCACAACATTAGGACCTTTGAGGATAAACATCCATAAACAGAAACAATTAAATAACATTCAGTTTACTTGGCGAACGTCTTCAATTTAAGGATATTTCCTGGGTTTATGTTAAAGGAACAGTTCAAAAATAAGTTATCAATTCTCACTCTCATGTCATTACAAACCTGTATGGCTTACTTTCTGCTGTGGAACACAAGAGTAGATTGTACTGGTCACTATTCCAATATTAGTCCCCATTACACTGAGACTTGAGCTTCAAAAAAGATGCAAAAATACCATAAAAGTGTCACATAATGGTCCATAAGACTATATTTCAAGTCTTCTGAAGTCATATGATAGCTTTGTGTGGGGAACAGACCAAATTAAGATGTTTTCAATTATCAACATCTCCTCCACTAGGCTGTTAACTGCTACAAAAGTTAGTCAGTCCAAATGAGAATGAATCTTTAAGATAAGTGAAAGTGAATGAAAAGATCTGATACAAAATAATGATTTATCCACTTTCATAATAATTTTAGGGTCGTAGCTTGAAAGCATCAGTCCTCACTCATCTATGGAAGAAAGTCAGTCAGGTTTGGAACAACACAAGAGAAAGCGTATATAATAACAAAATTCAAATTTTTCATTTTATTCCATTAAAACACCACAAAACTTACAACCTTGTTCATTTGTGCCATCGGCTGATTCCCTTAAAGATGACATAGAAATAAGCCCTCTTGGCAGTCCATCAAATAGTGGATAGTATCTTTAAAGCTTGGAGCCAATGGTCTGATTTTTTGGTCTAAGCGTTTTGAGCCGGGTCACTAAGGCAGATTGGAATATTTAATGAGGTAGGATCGATCTTGAGACCCTGTTGGTATTGTCGTATTTATCACCACCTTCCCCTCCAACCCCTTGAGAGATTTCCTCCCTTCCTCTCTCACTCCCTCATGCACACGCACTTAGCTGCTTAGTGAAGTTGGAGTCACAAAAGGCAAAGATTTCTGGAAAACATTTTGGCTGAGAACTACTGAAGATAACCGAAGAGAGATTATGCATATCGAAATCGTCAGGAGAGAAACTTCAAAACGAAAGCATGCAGCTCCACTCAATACGTAGCTAAATCTGTATTCAGTTTAGAAATCTCTGCACCACAGTTCTGCATAGAGTCCAAACCGCACCTGAACAAGAAGATCTGATATATGAGGTGGAAACGGAAATTGCAAATGTCCTTGCAGAGCACACTGATGATACATGGGCATTACATTAAAGCAGCAAATCAGAAAAGGAATTTTTGATGATTACGATCGCAGCTGTACCTTCAATCTTACAGCCATTTTCCACTCAGCAACTCACTGAAGCATAGCTACAACACTTCTTTAATGTAATTTAACAATTATTTTCCACTAAAAACTACTTACAAGAACATATAACAGCAGCTCATCGTGTACATCTTTTAAATAGAGCCTGCCAGTAGATAAATATTCCAAATTGTTTCCAATGTAGCCTAATGAGACATTAACAGCAGGGTTTTCTTTCAGTCCTGACTTTCTAAACTGACAAGAGCAACAGTCTCATTCTTCATTCAGTGTCATTTTTTATAAGCCAGGACTTACGGTACATTGAGTGCAACTCCTCAATTTCTTCAGCAGTCTGATTCTTCGTAGTGACGATTACCTGTCAAATGCAGAGCATTATGAAAAAAAGAGCAAAGCATAAATCTAATAGCTATAGTTGTATCAACAAGAATGCACTTTTAAAAAGCTGAAACATCACATCTATTTATTTAGTAAATAAAAGAATGTAACATTACAGACATGTCAATTAGGGATGTCAATTTTTGATCATTTCCATGATCGATCGTCGTTTAAATTAACGATCAATTAATCGATTAATCGTTAACCTTAATGCTGCAAAATGCGTCTATGCAGCCCGGCATGACAGAATGTGCAAAAGTTACTCAAAAAAAAAACCCCGCTTTCTCACCCGATTTAAAGGGGATTTAGTCTGAATAAAATGCTAGTAGCAGGATTGTAAAATGAATGGATGTGATTATGATCATTTGATAAAATGAAGAGAGCTCGTTTGACATAATTTTACTTTGTTGACTGTTTCCTATACTGACACAGAGACCACTGAACGCGCCTCTTTAAATGGTTTCGTGGTGCTCGTTGTTGTATTTTAAAACACAATTGCAATGTTTTCAACTGACATTATGGCATTAAAAATAAAATGATCCCAAACGTAACTGTGGCGCGTGTGGCTGTGCTGCGCAGTCAGTGAACGGCTTCCATCGGCGCTGCTGCAGCAAAACACACTGTTGCTAACATGAAACATTATCATGTGAGTATTATGACCAGTACTTAATTTGATCCTGCTGGATCCTGTTCCGGAAAATGTCAGATTTTGAATTTTTGCATTGCGGTTGGCCTATTTGTTTTTAAAAACCCGGCATTTACAGTGCATTACATCGTGACAGTGCATGCGTGTGTGCATACGAGGACGGAGCGAGCGCGGGTTTGGCTAGATGTATTTGGAGGTTATTACTAACATCTCATTTGGCACAAATCCAAATGTTTCCATATTCGCAAAGTATTTGAATGTTAAACTATTATTTATAATGTAAACTAGGCTTGTACTTTACACGCATTCGCATATAGACGGAAAAGATCATCCTCTTCACATGATGTGTTGTTTCTATTTTAATGTACTTTTAAAGTTTAAATCACATTAAAAGCTTTATTTGTACATTATGAATGAATGATGATGCATTTATATACCGTCACCCACAGCCGCTCGCACGTGTTTTGCGCATGAGCCGCACGCAGCCCAAAATTAAACGACTTAATCGACCATCGATAGCTTTAATCGACTGCATCTCTTATCGACAATTAATCGATCATCGATTAATCGTTGACATCCCTAATAGACATACATGTAGACACATTTCTATTATATGCACATTTATATATATTTTAGAAATAACAATCCACAGTAGTACATACAGGTTTTCGTTTACTCTCCATTTGATTCTTCAACCTCTCGTTGTTTTCAACTTCTTTGGCTATTTTTTCAGCTGTCAACAAATGAAAAAGCAAAAACATTAGCTATAAAATCCAACAACGATTCTGAAGACGACTTAATGCCCAACATATAAATATACCCAAATACATAAAATCTCACCTCAATACATACAGTAGCCTATCTATACCTATTATTTCTATATCTCTATTAAAACACACAGGCAGATGCTCATTCTCATATAATTCTGGATAACATGACCATCAGCTTTTACACAAATTTGTGGCATAGAAGTCAATTTGAATACTGTAATTTATCAATTCAATCTGCCATTGTATATGACAAACAAAACCACACAGGTAGTGTAGGGAAAAAAAAAACAATACACACTCAAGTCCACCTTTTTAACAGAAACCATGGTAACGTAAGGCGAATGATAGAAAAATAGAAGGTTTCCTGCTAAACCTTTGACAGCTCAATGAAAAGAGACAAATTCAGCTCTGAAAGGGTCAGTGAGAAGGGAAGCAGTAACTCAAACAAAACTTGAGGGATAAAACGACTGTATTTTTCCACTAGCCCTGTCATCTTTGTGCCAGGGTCCCCCCACGGGGTGACTTAACTTCTGCACATAAATTACATTCCACCACCTACAGTGGCTGGTCACAGTAAAACTGCGTTCAGCAAACTCTCTTTCACCAGCAACATATAATTCACGCCATTCATGTCAGAAACACACGTTTACATGAAATCCCAACAATGTTTTTCAATGCCTATAAAGCTATGTCTTCCAATTCACCATCTATTCATTCATTTGTTCATTCAGTTATTGATCTCTGACTTTATACCTGATTTGGGGTTGAGTGCATCACACTGTGCGTTATAGATGTGGGTGAATTCCTGGTGGCGTCGCATGAGCTGATCTCTGCTGCCTTGAGCAGACAGGTGACACTCTTTAAGCATCTTCTTGAGCTTTGGAACAGTAATCAAAGTGTACAAGAGCTTAGGCATCGCCTTTCGCCTTCCACCACTGAAAAACAAACACATACACAAGTCCCAAGGTCATTTATAGAAAAAAAAGTTAAATACAATGAAATTATACATAAAAAAATCATTGTCATTCAAAATAAATGTATAAAACATTTAGATTTGTAAGTGTGCACTGATTGCACAAACCACATTCACGAATTCATGCACACAGAGCCCCATGCATAATGTTCTTCTGCAAGATGCATGCAGTTTTAATTATTAAATCTAGAGGACCAAAAGTTACATAGTGTACCTTTAATAATATTTATTCCACCAAGTAATATAGTCCATTAGCCTAATTGTGCCAATTCAGCTCATTCTTTAAAACAAATGCACAGTACGTCTAGCAAATTAGATGGAGAGTGACTGTTCAGGTCATAGCACAAATTTTCAATTGGAATTAAGTCTGTGTCTAGAATAATAACTATAAAGCAATATCTTCATAGTTTTGCCATGTAGTTTGTGCAGCTGTTGTGCTGGAAAGTAACACTAACTCATATCTCTGGCTGACTGAAACAAGTTCTCCTTAAGGATTTGCATGCATTCAGCTTAATCCATTTTGGCCTTGATGTCAACAAACTTTCCAGTTCCACCATCTGAAAAAGAAATTCCCCAAACATAACACTGCCACCGTGGCAGAGTAGGTCTTACCTGGTACTGGGTTGTATTTTCGCCAAACATAGTGCTTTGCTTTCAGGCCAAGGAACTTAACTCTTGCCAGACCAAAAATTTACTACCAAACTGTTTCAGGTTTTGTCCCATGGCTTTTACATGATTTAATGCCAGCCTTTCTCCTAGACACTGTGCCAGAGGTGAATCTCAAGTGGTGAAGAGACTGTTGGTATCAGGATTTTTCAGATGTGAGACAAACAGCTCTGCAACTTGTTTTGTGGTCAATTCTCTGAGAGATGTCCTAGATGTCCGGTTACTCAGTTTGTTAGGATGGCATGATCCTGGTAGTTGACTGTATTGCCATTTACTTGGTAACTTGTGATCTTTAGAGGATCATATCAATCGTTACTTTATTTAAAGGGGTCATATGATGCTTTTTTAAAGATCATTATTTTGTGTATTTGGTGTAACAGAATATGTTGACATGCTTTAATGTTCAAAAAACACATTATTTTTCAAATACTGTACATTATTGTAGGTCCTCTATGCCCCGCCTCTGTCAAACGCTTCGTTTTCTACAAAGTCCCTCCTTCCGACAAGAGCAGTCTGCTCTGATTGGCCAGCTGACCCAGTGCATTGTGATTGGCCGAACACCGCAAGCACGCGTCGGAAATGTAACGCCCCTTACCTTTAATCGCGAGCTTCATCTTTCAAAATAAATGTAAAGACAGAGCCCGAAAGGGGAACAGAGTCGCGTGACAGACACAGTGATGAAGCTGGTATGTGTTTGCATTACA